CACTGAAGTTTAAAGGAATTTTGTATGAGCATGAGCCTCATTAATTAACTCCTATTGCTGTCTGTCACATTGTGTACACAATGTTCATGTATGTAGTTCAAAGGAAGAAAAAGAAAAATAACAGTAGTAGAAATGAAAATTGACTAAATATAAACTTACATTTTGCTATGTAATTTAAATTCTTTGAACCCTTCTCATATGCATAGGATACATATTCCGAATTTCTTATGCAACAATTACGCCCTTCCATCTCCTGATTTTGTGATTTGTAGGTTGAACAATTTTATTCAGGGCATATTGATGAAGTTACTTTTTAAATTCTATAATATATGTTCAAATCAAGCAAGCATCAAGTAATCAAGATAAAGTCATTTGCTCTTTCTTGTAAATGTCCCCCTTTTTTGTATTTGTTGAAGAACTATCAGACTATAATAACATCTCGATGAAATGAGCTAGAAATGTCCGTTGTTACTCCTCATTGATGGTTTCTGTGAAGCTAGACAGCTAGACACAAATACTGGTAACAGAAAGACACCCCTTTTCCCTGGCATCCATTTTCACTGTTGAATGGAGATGGTGTGAGCACCAACAAGTTGTTATTGTTCTCCTCCTGAATTCTCATTTACATGTAGAAGGACCATCCACAATGAGGAGAGGAATCCCATTCATACCTTTAGTTTGACCATGAATACATTATTGTAGATCAGTTGTAGTGTGTCTATTTGAAGAATGAATCAGTGTAAGTGTAATGAGGAGAGCCAGGCCAGAGAGCTTTCCTCCCCATCATGGAGGGTTACATCTGCAGGGAGTTTTGACTTGAGGTGGGAATTACAGAATATCATTGAATTGGACTTTTCCTCGATAGTTTTGTTGATGCGCTATTTTTTAGCCTTATAGAAAGTTTTAACACAGCCTTCTTGTTGCTTTGGACTTTCTGTGACAGTGTGGGTTTAATTTCAACTTGGAGTTTTGACTTGAGCTTTGGAAGAACTTGTGTATGTTGTTGGAATACTTCTTGCTCATTGTAGATTTCTCTGGTATAAAGGATTTAATGAGTTCAATGAATATTTTCGTCTTCGGATGGTGATATTCTTCTGTGATGATTCCATTTTACCTTGCTAAGAAAACGAGTAGGCCTTTCATGTAGGCAAAGATCCATTTGGCTCTTCATGTAAGTGCTTTCCAAGAGATGTTGCAATTAAGCAATTAAGTGCCTTACCACAGGCGCAACAACCTGATTTTGAACTCGGAACCTCCCTTATGGGACCACTACCTTCGTCATGCCTCCTCATACCATGGATATGAATGGATTATGTGCATTTGAATAATCTTTCTTGTTGGACAATCCATATTCTAATTAATTTGTTGTTGATGTTCTGATGCCCTGCCCCTCTGTGATCATGTTTCTTAAATTACTATTTCTGTGGTACTCAAGAAAAAGGATACACACAGGTGTGTAGAGTTAGAGAGAAAATTGTTTCACTGAATTTCTGAATAACTGGCTTGAAGATATTTTAATTCAGAAGAGGCTTCATAATACATGTAGGCTAAGTGCAAACCTGCATGTATTCTTGACTTTTAAAGTGAAGCCTTGATCAAAAGTACAATAACTATGGAGATGTCAGAATATCCTTAAAAGTTCATCCAACAACTTTTGCAGCTTGTATAGAAGTTTGACAAATAGACTCCCACTGAATTTCATGTTCTTTTTCATGTATTCTCCCATGTTCGGTGTAAAATATACCAAATAGGAGAGGGAAAAACACTAGACATATTCTATAGTATAGGGCAACACAGAGCTTGTTTCTATTCGGCCAGTGACCCTCCAAAACGCTGTTTTCACACTGTAATGACATCGTGTGAAGTGATCGAGTTAAATACTTTCTCAGCCAGGAAATTAACTTGATTCGAAGCATTGACATTTCGGCCAACCTGCTTTTACATTAGGTATAAGGCTTTCCTTTGAATTTGTTCTGTGCTGAGAAAACATGTCTAAACATTACTTGAGGCCACGAAAGCCGAAGTAGACTAAACTACTTAGTTCTTTTTATGCTGGAACTGTGATGTTTTCAGAACAAGCAACTTTGAGAAATGCCGCATAAGATTTTTTAGAGCCTGCTAGTCATTGATGAAAACTCAGAGCTAATCTGAGATACTTCATAACCAAACTGAGTGCAGTATATTTTCTCATTAGATGAAAATTGTAAAATATAAAAGGATAATTTAGAATTGTAAGAACAATAAAGGAAATTTACCAATTTGTTCTATTTGGCATATTTAGTACTGCCATGTTTGAGGTTTAGAATTATATCAAGCCCTCATAATAATGATGTTGGCAAAGATGTTTCACGTCTATATACATGTACAGCAAGATATTTCAAGTTTCCTGTTGGCATTTATTTAATTTAAGATTATGATTTTTTTTTTTAAATTGCATTCCAGCTATGAATTAGAAGTTCATGTGTAGATGCTCAGGTGATAAGTTTAGAGGGCAGTTTCTGTTACAAAGGATTTGTTCAAGTATTTGCTTCATGACATCCATCAGTATGACAGAACTTAGAAGCCTTTCAAGAACATTGTTATATCAGGTTATAACTTTTAAAAACAGCAGTGTAAAGTTTGGTATCGCTAGAATAGCCATCAGTATGACATGAGTTCAGACCTTTGAAGAAACCATTTGATCAGTTAATTACTTTACTGCCTTTACAAGCTTGGTGTTACTTTAATAGAAGTCACATGATCATTATCAAAGAGGAGAGTGCACATGCATGTGTCTGAGAATTCTCTTTTATCTTTCCTGCATGGGCTTGACATTTTCTTCGCTGTACACTTATTGAAGCAGGTCCATGTATCATCAAAGCCTGTGGTCATTGAGGTGTCAATAGACACCTCTACTTTTTATCTTAGCACACCTGGCGTCTTAAGATCCCAACCCACCACCAACGTCATTCATCTGAAGACTGCCTATTGAATGAAGACCTACATGTATTATCCATCAACAGCTTGCAACAACAAGTTCTTCCCATGATTTCCTCTTCAGCAACCTTTGCCTGAGTTTTCAGACATGTCAGGATAGTCGTATCTAAAACTAAAGAGACATGCAGCTAATACATTATTTGAAGCAGCGAGAGTTTGTTTGAAGAATTTTGGAATTACCTGATGGAGTCTTCTACCTTTTTATTTCAACAGCAGTCAAATCAGAGGAAGTATTGGAACCCATAGGAATCATTGATACCAGTTAGACAGGTTTTTTGTAATCATAATCATTGTTTAAATTCAGTCAAGACATTTAATGACTTCCAGATTAAGGTAATTGCTGGTCATCTTGTTGCCTAATTGCCTGCTGGGTCAGTTGGTCGTCTCAGATAATTTTCTTCCTGTACTGTAGCCTATGTTGCAGTGCGTAGGTATTGTGTGTTATTGACCCCCATCAGGAGCCCATGTGGGGTGTGTTTGTAGATAATCAGAGTTCATTAGATGAAATCAATCAAAGAATGAGATCACCTGGTGGATTACATTTGTGTCAATTCATTCCTGAATTGTAACATGATTTTCAAGAACGGCTGATCTTTCTAACTGGATATTACCGGTTATTCATGTATTCTTCTTGATTTGAGATGATTCACTTTGAGAGAGACTGGTAGTGGTTCACTTGATTCGGCAAGGATGTAAACTAATTGACAACATTTTAAAAACTGGAAGAAGAATAGTGAATCATAATAAAGAATTGTTCAAGGAAAAATTTTGCATTTGATTGAATTAATTTGTCTTGTATTTCTGTAGTTTCATCATTGTCAGGATTTATGAAAAAATCTTTGTTATTGCAAACTATAAATCTGTATTACCAGTACTTTTGAAAATATTGCCTTGTAAAAACTTGTCTAGAAGAATTGGTGCTTGGTTCGTTGTTACCCAATTTTGGGTAGCCTCATTTCAAGAAGATGAAAAAGTGACCCACTGCTGAGTTCACAAGCAGGAAGAATTAATCTTGGCGTGATATACTACTGAACCCGCGGAGGTCAGGCAGATGTAAGAATCCATGGTTATCATAACGTTATGAGCGATATGAATTATGACTTGCTGGATGGATACCTAAAGTAGCTGAACTCTGAATGGCACAGCTAGGTCAGCTGTTAGTGACAAGGATTCTGCATTTCATGATAGTGGTATTATTCTGGATGGACCTTATGGAGGTTAGTGAAGATGTAGGGTCTGTTCTTAAATTGATAAACTGAAGCAGAGTTCGGATGCAGTCTTTCATGGATGGATCAATATCTCCTGTATTGATAGTGATGCGTCAGGATTCTTCAAAGTACCTTCAGCATATTGCTCAACTTTTCAAGGAAATTGTTGTTATCTACATTGTCAGTTTTCCTAGAGGAATCAGAAATATTTGTTAAGACCTTCAGTGAAGTTCGTGCCTCCCAACAGAACAATAAAGTTTGGGACTTTGGGTGTATACTGTACTGTGGTCTGTAGCAGCAACCATACACTTGATTTATGCAGCATGTATTTTGTGGTCAGAGCTTAATTTCTCCCAGGTGTTTGACTTGCGTTCTAGCATTTTGGTATAATTTCATCAATTTATCAAACAGTAAAACAGAGAGAGGAGTCTGTTGTATGGCTCACTACATGATCCAGATGCTCTAGTTACTGTTCCATTATTGACCAGGCTACTCATCAATGTGATGCGCCTGTCTCTGCTGATAAGCTGTCAGTTGCTGAAGATGTCACTTTGAATCATCCAGGAGTCCACGTCTGCTGTCTACAAACATTCAGTAACATACTTTTACGTTTACTCACTCAGCATACCTGTGATATCTTCATTTTATCATCAAGGGATCTCTGTTCAAACACCCGATGTCCGTACACCTGGGGCAATGCGAGGTTATAAAAATCGCTTCTGTTGCTACTGCTGCTGCTGATGACGAAGGGGCGATTTAAGGATTAAGAAAATGACCTCACTGAAGCGAAAGCTTTATATTTGGTCTTGAGTGATCAACTAGGCGTGGGCCTGGGTGGATGGAAAATCAAGCAGCTATTAACAAGGGGATGGTCGCGGATAGGGGATTTCTTTGTCATTATGGACTGATCTTACACACTGGAGTCATCGTTCGGAACTCATCCTCAGCTGTACCTTTTTGTGATTGATGATTTTCTGATTTCTCTTTGCATTTCAACAATAACGGTTGAAAGTATGAACTGACTTTGTGGATTCATTAAGTTAGAACGCTCTGTGTTACATGAAACATGAAGGAGCTGTTTAAGATGTTGAAATAGAAAATAAGCGCACCATATGCTGAAAAAGCAAGGAATAATCTTTAAAACTGAACCAGATGAGTGGATTCTTACTTATAATCTAGGGAATCTTACCATTCTTAAAAGGACATCAAAAAACTTGATTTTTGTGGATATTATTATTAATACTGTCTTGACTTTTGTCTGGAGGAAGTTTCAAATGTTGATGTGACCTCATTTCAAGAAGAATAGTTTATCTGTGGATCAACCAAAGAATTGAATGGGCCTCAGTTCCATCTTATGGATAAAGCTCTTAATCTGAGTCTTAATCCATCATAAACCGTCGTTCTGTCACTATAATTGTGATATGTCTATTTGGCATGAGAACTTGTGTGATTATGTAGACTCGTACAGGATTGGTATTTCTGCAGTATTTTTGTCTTCATGCATGTTTCTGTTATTGAAATTCTCTGAAAGAAATAGGTATTTATCAGTTCGTACTGAAGAATCTGATACATCATACAGTGATTTGGTATTCTTGACATGGATATTATAAGTCTGCTGGCTGGTCAGTTGTTAATCGTAGGATACTTCTGAAATTTGCTTGGATTTTGCCATAAATCATTTCTAAATTTCTACAGCATCAACCGACTCTTTGACCTGAATCAGGATTAACTTTGGATTAATCAATGCCATTCTTTCTGTCTTGCGACTGTTGATCTCTTTCTTGTGATTTTTCCTTTTTGGATAACAATTATCAGAGATTGTGACTATCCATTCACAATTACCGGGAAAGGAATATTACCACATTAAAACTTCATCTACATGTACAGTGTAGGAGGTACCTGAGAGTTTAGTATTTCAAGAGGAATACACCCCCCCCCCCCCCCTCATCAGGATGCCGCTAAGATTGAAGAAAGGATGGAATTGGCGTACAGCCAAGCTTTCTCTCTGGATGCTTGACATTCTTCGTAAAGATGGTAAATATTCATCTTCATTCATACTAATCAGGTGCCGAACTAACAACCAATTACATCCTAATGGTAACAAGGTAGCATTGTGGCATTGATGAAGTTCATTTGTATACATATTCACTCTGATCACTGGCAGATTTAACAGGGGAGTTCTTGCCCTAGGAAAGTTATTCACAAAACTTGTGAGTCAAGAATTGTATTACTATCCGATTTAAAAATCATAGCAATTGATGTTATATAAAAGTATAACAAACTATATACTGTATAGGCATATATTTAATCATTGACTAATATAGTGTTACATATTGTAAATGTAGGTTTCAGTGGGAACAGGCCTCTACTTTCTCAGGTTGAAAGTAGCCTCACCACTGTAGCCTTATTCACATATATTGTGATAAAAACAATTTTGGCAAAATTAGGTGTTATTTGCTTCACAATTTTGTATCTTAAAAACCAAGGAGTTGCACACAGATAAGTGCACACTTTTATTTTATTTTATGGCGTCATTACCGCTCTGGTATACAGGAAGATGGGTGAATGGATTGTCTATTTCTATGCCCTAGTTCATTATGAATTGACCAGCATGTCCTTTATGGTAATTTAATCTGTTCAGTTCAAGGAAATGCTGCCTGTTCTCAATCATCATAGTGAACAAACTCTGATAAATGTAGACAGTGTCTTCTAGAAGTATCTGCATCACTTCGTATCAAAGTGAACTCATCAAAATTGGTTCTTTGTTGGAGTCTGGGCAAAAATTCAATTAGGCCTACTCTTTGTGCTGTTTGGTTTAAAAATAAACTTTATATTTAACAGTGGGAAAGTGAAATTGCTTTTAGTGCTTTGTATATATTTTTGGGATTTTACTGTAGTAATACTAAATTTATGAAATTAGAGTGACCCTTTGTGCGAAACCCTGGGTGGCTGCCTACATCTACATGTATCTGATATAAAGAGGTAAATAAAAAAAAAAAAATGATGCTTAATTATTGGCTTGTTAGATGTAGATGTGTTATGCTCTGCAGCTAATGAATATGAAATATGTTTGTGAGTAAAATAAAATGTTAGAAAGTAAAAAAAAAACTGATGTATAGTTACACACATATTGAACAAAACGTATATTGATGACTCTTATATGATGTAGGATTGGCATTTGATTTGAATGCGACAGATCTTTGAAAGGAAATATTTTTCTACAGTCTGGAAGGAAATTTGTACTGTGATTGTTAAATCAGATACAATGGCATTTACACTGCAAGTAAAAAAACCTGCAGTGTAAATGTTCGCGCGCAAAACATCCGTTAACTATTCAGGTTTTTGCCTTTGCCTATGCGACTCTCCTTACTTTTGAACTACGGCGTGCAGAGCACGACAAGTCGCGCATGCGCACTACTCAGAACCTGAATGTTTCAATGGCAAGCATATATATATATATACAGACAATTATACATTGATTTTTCCAGTGATGCAAATGGTAGTTCACATTAGGTTTTTTGCAGTATGAATAGGCCTATTGTGGCATACTGGATACATAGGATATCTCTCACAACAAACAGACATTAAAATCCACAGCGCAATGGGACAAACAGACTTATCAAATCACTGATTTCCGTCTCTGAGGTCCAAATGACCCTATCCTACTGATATTAAACTCACAAATTCTGACAGGGAATGGTCATCAGGAAGTCATATTCAAAGACAATTGTCTGACCTTGAAAGTTATTTCAAGGCTCCTGTTCATCCGCTTTGTGGCATTTGTTATGGCCAGGATGGAAAACCAGAGACAATAGTGAGGTTCACATGGCAGTCCTTAAAATTTAAGTAAAGGTTGTGGTTTTATACAGTACTTTGAATTTATTTTGTAGTTAGGGACAGTGCGGATGTACTCATGGTTACAAAACTTTAAGTTATCTCGAAGTTAGTACAAACTATGACACATCTTAAGATTAGCGTGATAACTACGAGCATCGATCTGGGGGTCCTTATTCAAAGTTATGTGTTGTGTGGACAAAATTAACTTTGACGTTACACTAGCTTGTAGTTTACTTTATATACTGGTTTCAGTACCATGTGATCCATTGTCATGGTTAGTGGGTCATTGACTCATTGTTTTTTACAACTTTGAGGTTTCGTGAACTTAAAGTTTAAAACTATGACGGATCTGTGTGAACTACATGTATGAACTTTGCATACAAAAATACATGTACAGTAGGTATATTTTAAGAGCATTAACTCATATGCACAGATTTAATGACCCCCCTGGCTGATATATGATATTTGATACATTATTAACCTACAAAAATGAGTTGTAACTTTAGATTTGTAGAATGCATAATGGAATGCATAATGAGAATATTCAATAACTATAAGGGTTTGTATAATGAAGAAAAAAAAACAGTTTTAAGAAATTATAAGTTTTCAGAGGTCTCTCTGAAGGATCAAAGGAAAACAATGTCTTTAATTGTCGCAAAGAAAAGCATTCCAAAACATAGGAGCTGATTAGACGAAAGGTTGGTTGCCATATCACATGAACATATATATATGTTTGGCATCCATGACATTTCTGTCACCATGAAAATTGTTTGCTTTTGTTTCTAGACATTCATGGACATGGGTTTCTGATATCAATTGTTTATGCTCCACGGTCTATTTATACAGTGATTGACAATATGATTACTTGATAACTTCATGATCCTCATTTTATCTTCGGATGAACCATTACACCCAGTTGTTCCAACTACCGGTAGTGCTATTTTAGTTTGAATGGGATTGATCTAAATTTTTTATTTTAGGTAATTCTAATATAAACCTTTGTGTCTCTTTTCATCATCATTGGTCTAATTGAAGCTTTTATACAGTATGGTATGATTCATAATATTTGGGTTTGTACCAGGAAGACGGGTAAGGATAATATTATATAGAGGTTGTCTGGGCATTTAGTTGTTGGGTCATTGACTCATCTTACCATTGACATTGTGTGTGGGTTGAAAAATCTCTATTAGCATGGGTGCCAGAAAGTTTGATAGGAACTTGTTGAACACGCACAGGAAGAGATTCCATATTGTAAGATTGCTGTGGACATTGTTCTTTTTTTAGGTGAAAATATCCCCCCCCCCCAAAACAAAAAAAAAGAAAAAAGATGTCAATACAGATATAAGAAGGAAACATCTATTCCTGATCCATGATCTATAAAGTTAGTTTTTTTTTTCATACATTTTTAAGAAAATTTTGAATTATTCTGTTTGTTTTGAGCTCTGAGGATATATATCGGGATAGAACGCAACAAATTTACTAATTATCCATTCATTTATTTATAGCTTTTTGCAACTAGTGTTAGAATATTAGTGCTTTGCCAAAAGAGAGAGAGAGAGAGAGAGAGAGAGAGAGAGAGAGAGGGGGGGGGGGGAGCGAGAGAGATCAGCTTTTGAAGCTGATTGGACTAAAGCATGCGACACATCCGATTTCATCCTTCAGACTTCACCCTAAATCTGTCTGTATGGGGAAATCATATCCATCATGATGTTCAATCAGTTAAAGAGTAAAGTGGAACACATGAGATCATGTTTATATGTTAGTCCAAAAGTCAGCCCCCCCCCCCCCCCCCCCCGCAAAAAGCTGTAGCCTGAAGCCGATTTCTTCCTTGGTAGATAAGAAATGCCTACTTTAACTTTCACAGAGAACACTTTATACATTTACACATGTATAAGTGTACAATAAAGTGAAACTCCACACAAGGATTGTACACTGGAAAATGAAAAACTAGAAAGTAAGACCACATTTCACTTTTTTTTTTCTTTTTCTTTGCCTCACCACAGGATTTATTAAGTATACATGGTTTACATTCAAAGATACAATAATACTAATCAAACTTACATAATCCCAAAAAGCATCATTTCATATCTTAGAAAACAAAAATATTATATGGGGTAAGGTTCATGAATGCTTTGAAAGTCAACCTATTTTAAACCAGGTTGACTTTTGTACTGCCTTGATGGAGCTCTTGATTGAGCCCACATGCTGCTCTCTGCTCAGCTTGATATGTATTCAACACATGTTAGAAAAAGGCTTGTCAAAAGTGCAATTTGGTTCAAGTTCATGATTTTTTTTGGTTGGATGCATAAAGTGTTACCTGGAATTATCGAGTGAGAAGTCCTGTAACGTGGACAACTTAGAGGTAAAATCCATTAAAGTTAGATAAGACCAAATTTCTTGCCAGAAAATCCAGGAAGGCTTCTTGAAGTGAATATTTTAGTGTTTTCTTGTTCAGTGTAGATTGTTTATATTTCATGTCATCCACCAAAACCCCTAGCTTTATATATTTTCTTGTCATGATAGATCAACATCCTAGTATGTAAAGTAATTCATCATATCCTGGGAATAATTGCATCAATATTTGCTTGATTTAGAAATAAAATTCAGTCATGTCGTACTTTTATGCCCGTAAATGATTAAAGAATAACTGAAAGGTGACCACTTGAAGCATTGGACAATTTATACAGTATATTTTTGTGGGGGAAAACTGAATAATTTTGCTATATGTGTTGCTTGCAAGTTGTTTCAACAGTGTTAGGCCTATTTTTAGTGAACAGGTCAACGGACACATGAGATGTTTATCATCTATCACTCATTGTTTTACTTTGCACTATTTATGAAAACATAAAAGCCGTTAAAGTAATCTAGATTACCCAAAGAATCATATATGCAATGTGAGATACCATAGGCATTCATAAGTTCATTCACACTCAAAGCCAAACTGTATTCCTAATCACTTTTCCTTTAAGGCCTCGCATAATCAAATCATGGCATCTTGCCGATAAGACCTGGCGAGTCAATATCATACTCTCCCATCAATGAATCCTTTTCAAATGTCCCTTAATTCTCTATTTTGACTCTCTCTCTCTCGCTTTTCTCTCTTCTCGCACTCTTCTCGTTTTGTTTTTAAACTTGGCTATGAAATAAAACTTATCAGCTTAGTGGGATTATGCTTGTAACAGTCACATCACTCAGTT